ACTCTGTTTTAGGTATTGTGTGTCCTCAGGGGGAAGAAGCTGTGGCTGCCATTTTACTTAGCACTGTGGATCTCTCTCTCCAGCACCAACCAGCAAGTCTGTGGGTCTCTCTCACCCCCCACAAACACAAGTAAAGCTGCTGCTCCCCAACACTGACCAGCAACAGTATGTGGATCTCACTCATCTCAGTCAAACACCACGGGATAGGGGGAAAGCTTCAGCAAGCAGTCTGCTATTGAGCCCAGAGAGATCATCCCATAAATGGAGATTGTTGTACCATACTTAATAAAAATAAGATATACCCTGAAAATAAGACATAGTGTGTCTCCTCGAGGAAAAATAAATATAAGACAATGTCTTATTTTCTGGGAAATACAGTACTAGTGATCTTGGGGGGTTTGAAGAAAACACAGGTTCCGTCTTTCCTCTTCAGCTAATAGCAACTTGAGAGTCCAGGGAGAGAAAGAAATGTCTCGGTTCGGTAGTGGATAAATGAAGTTCATTTCCTATATCCTCTCTACACTACATCCTCCATTTAGCCTTTTGCCAATGAGAAAGATTATGGATCTGCCACATGTTCCATTTAGTTTGGCTCACAAAATACAGAAATCAGCCAGGCCTGTTTCCAAAGGGAGGCAATCTGGTAGCAACAATAGATTCAGTCACACCAGAAGTGTTGAGTTTTATTCCTGGACCGCACAAGTTTCTGTGTGCCATCAAGTTTCTAGCCCATGATGAGTAGCTAGACTAGAGACAGGGTTAAGCTGAGGGATTCCTTCCTCACCCCCACCCCCAGATTCCTATGCATGTTTGCCTTTCCTCTTCACTGCTAGGAGCCCCCAGTGATGCAATGGGTTAAACCAGTGGTTCTCAACCTGTGGTCCCCAGATGTTTTTGGCCTACAACTCCCAGAAATCCCAGCCAGTTTACCAGCTGTTAGGATTTCTGGGCGTTGAAAGTCAAAAACATCTGGGGACCCCAGGTTGAGAACCACTGGGTTAAACCCTTGTGCTGGCAAGACTAAAGACTGACAGGTCAGAGGTACAAATCCAGGGAGAGCGCAGATGAGCTCCCTCTGTCAGCTCCAGCTCCCCATGTGGGGACATGAGAGAAGCCTCCCGCAAGGATAGTAAAACATCAAAACATCCAGGCATCCCCTGGGCAACGTCTTTGTAGATGGCCAATTTACCCACACCAGAAGTGACTTGTAGTATCCCAAATCACTCCTGACTCCCCCCCCCAAACCCCCCCCCCCTGCTAGCCACTGTTTCCTCCCCCTTTGATGGTGTAATAATGGAATTCTGTGACTGAACTTCCTCTTAAGGTTAAAACTGTCCTGGGTTGACCATACAGTCTCCAACATTTTAGGGCCTACTGCTATTCTTTCTGCCTATGAGGATGCACATTTTGCCTCTCTCTAGGCAAAATGTAGCTGCATTGACTTTTTTAAAAAAAAATCTTTTATCTTATTTAGAAGATGAGACTTAGGAAGCTTGTTGGTTCCCAGACCTTTTCTATCAAAAATGTATTTCTTTTTTACTTCAATAAATATTTTTTGAACCTAAAGTTCTGACTCTGCAATTGTGATCCATCCTAAGGAACAGAAGGCTTCCTTTGTTTGCCACATGTACGTGGTTATGGAGTTTACTCCTGGTGCTCTGCTATATTTTTGGTGGAATTTCCCCAGATGAGGGTTATTTTTGAGCCCAACAGCTCAGATTCTCCAACAAGAAGGAATCAATTCCCTGTACTTGAGCACTTTCTCTTGCCCTAAGTTTCATATTTTTCTGTCTCTCCTTGAGGCTATTTCCTGGCTAAGGCAGCTTTAGGGGGGAAAAACCCACAACCACTGCTTGTGTAAACACACACATGCAAGCAGACACAATCAATCCATCCCAAGAGGGAGAACAAGATGATAGCAAACATCCAAAGGTCACACTGAGGCTGTTGTCTAGAAAATGTTGCCTCCCCTTGCTGGGCCTAGGAAAACAAAGCAAAAGCAAACACCTGTTTTGTCCCTAAGGGTGGGAAATAAGCAACGCAGGAAATCCATTGGTTCCTGCTCTCCTTCTGCAACCTTGAGACCTTCTTCCATGCAAAATACAGAAGGGTACCAAGGGGGAAAGAAGAGAGTTAAAAGTCTGGCACAGTGAAATGCTGTGACCCAGGGCTGTAGTCAGGGGGAAGGGATTTTAACTGGTTAACCAAATCTCCATGCTAAGTCTATGAGAAGCAAAAATGAAATGAGTCCATCCAGAATTTCCAGAGTCCAAGCAAATTTTGACAATTTATTCACACTGTCATTACTAACACTAATAGCCAATAAAGTGGAAGCAAACAAGGTGGCCTATCCATAACTGGCAGGTTAAAGCTACATCATTTTTTTGGGGGGGGGGGGGGATTTGAAGACACTCATGAAGAAGACCAGACTCCGTGGGGGCGGTTGACAGGGGCAGAGCTGCAGGCTATTTAAGGCTGCTCTGTCCTCCTGCTGTGCTCTTTGTTTCAGTGTGAAGGAGGAGGCAGGTTCCCAATGGAGCCTTAGACCTTTCCCTTCTTGGTATCCCTCTCCTCTTTTACTGATAGTAGGGTTCCAATTGCTATGCCTATATTTAGGTCATTTTCAACTTTTAAACATTTGAAAACATACATAAGAAGCACAATGGTGCAAGAAAGACTGTCTGGACTTGCACTCTTGAGTGTTTGCTGAAGCTTATTGATTGAGCTTGATTCCTGTCAAAGTATATTGACACAGTTTTCAAGTGTTTCCAACAGACATTGTGGTTTTCTTTTGTAACTATCAATTACTAATTAACAGTCATTTTCAGTTATTTTAAGATTTGACACTTTGTAACTAAAATAGAAAATACATTTAATTAAGTCTATATAAAAATACAGTAGAGTCTTGCTTATCCAACATAAATGGGTCGGCAGAACTTTGGATAAGTGAAAATGCTGGATAATAAGAGAGATTAAGGAAAAACCTATTAAACATCAAATTACATTATGATTTTACAAATTAAGTACCAAAACATCATGTTTTACAACACATTGACAGAAAAAGCAGTTCAATACTCGGTAACGTTACATAGTAATTACTGTTTTTTATTAATTTAGCATCAAAACATTGAAATATATTGAAACAGCTTAGATCCAGGCAGGAGGCAGATTTCATTGGATAATACAGAACGTTGGGTGAGTGAAGGTTGGATAAGCCAGACTCTACTGTATAGAATGAACCCTATTATATAAATAGTATGGTTCATTCTGGCTATTTTCTGGCTATGGCCCTGCTGTGTCCAGTTTCTCCAGCTCTGTCGTCACACTCAACTCCTGGAATGATTCCATCAAGGCTGCCTCAGAAAAATCCTGCAAATCTCTTGAGAAGATAGGCGGACAAATGTCAGCATGCTGGAAGAAGCAATGACCACCAATACTGAAGTGATGCTCCTACCTATGCCATCAACTCCTCTGGACTGGCCACATTGTCCGAATGCTTGATCACTGTCTCCCAAAGTGGTTACTGTACTCCCAACTCAAGAATGGGAAATGCAATGTTGGTGGACACGAAAAGAGATTTAAAGATAGACTTGAAGCCAACCTCAAAAACTGTGGCATAGACACCAAGAACTGGGAAGCTTTGACCCTTTATCGCTCTAACTGGAGGTCAGCTGTGAGCAGCAGTGCTGCAGAATTCAAAGAGGCACAACTGGAGGGCAAAAGGGAAAAATGTGCAAGAAGGTACCTCAAGCCAACCCTGACCAGGACCACCTTCCACTTGGAAACTGATGCCCTCCCTGCGGGAGAACATGTAGATCAAGAATAGGACTCCACAGCCATCTATGAACCAAGAGGACTATCACCTTGAAGGACCATAATCCTCGAGCTACCAGGGATTGGCTAAGAATGTCTCATTCCGGCTATTTTCTAGCTATGGCCCTGCTGTGACCGGTTTCTCCAGCTCTGTTATCACGAGCATCAATGCGTCAGAAGAAAACAGCCACTCCTCCCTCAACATACACCAAGTGCGCAGTTGCATGCATGCCTCCTTCAACATGACTGACTCCTTCGTAAGTGGATTTAGGATGGCAAAGCGGGTGTGCGCGCTGTCAGAATTGAATTGCAAGCACAGGAGAAGGTGACCTTGACTACCAGCACCAAGGGCACAAGCAGAGCCCACCATTTTAAGTCTGGAGCCATGCCCTGTTTATAGCTTTCCCCACTCAGACATCAACCACAGCCTTTAATTTGGGGCTGGAAAATCCAGAATAACTACCCCCATGCTCCTCAGTACCCACCATCTGTATATAGATTGAAATATTCGCTCTGGCAACGAGCAGGAAAGAAGAGGAAACCCCTCTAGGCGCAGATCTGAGAACCACCCATGCTGTGGGTACAAGCAAGCGTATTAAGGGATAAGGGATCCGTGACAAGGGGATTGGCGAGGGCTAGAAGGTGTCACAAGGCTGCCCTTCCCTTGAGCGGTTTGGCCAGGCGCTAAGCCAAGGCGCAAAGGTGGAAGAAGGGAGGAGAAGAGGCAGGGTTCTCTCTCTCTCTCTCACCCCCCTCCCCCCCCCCAAATCCCCACACATGCCACGCATCCACCTCTCCCGAGGGGTTCCCCACCAAGCCCCTTCTTTGCTGGGTCTGTGGTGGCCTCCACGTCCTTGGCTTGCCTTCGCACTGCGGCTCCCGGTCGAGTCACTGCAGCTGGAGAAGGAAAAGCAGGAGGAAGAAAGGACAGAAGGAGGAGAGGGAGGGAGAAGTGGAGGCAAGGCACCCGCCAACCTGTTTGCCTCTCTCTCTCTCTCTCTCTCTCTCTGCTGACTCAGAGCTCAGCAAGGTGAGGCTCTTCCAAACCGCCGTGTCAATCCCCTCTTTAGAGCCCGATGCTGCCCCGGCGGCTGCGCTTCGCCTCTCCCTTTCCCGAGCGCCGCAATGCCTTGGCTCCGAGGTGGCACACGCAACACACACACACAACACACACACCCGAGACCCACGTCGCAAGCGCCTCCCCCTCCGTCGCTCCCCGCCTTTGCCTGCTCGCTCTCTCCTTGCCACAAACAGCGCCGGCTGCCAAGGCGCCTCTCTCCTGCTCCTGCTGCTGCTGTCTCCAATTTCTCCCACTCCGGCGCAACATGAGGGTCTGGGGCTCCGCGTGGGCTTGGCTGGGCTCGTCTCCTGCCCTCTGCCTCGCCTGTGTCCTGGTGGATTAATCGGCGGCGCCTGGATCGGGACCCCAAGGAAGGGTGGGTGTCATGCGCGCCTCCTCCTTTCCACGGTGCCCAAAAAGGACCCCAACCCACAACCACATAGAGGGACTTTGGGGACGATGGGTGGGATCTTGCATGGGTGGGTGGGTGGCTGACACTTCGAGTCTCCTTATGCCATCATCGCCTCCCCATCCCATCATCCCCTCTCCAGGAAAACAACTCTCCCCACCATCCTTCGCCTCTGCCAGGCGACCAGAGGTTTCCTTCCTTCCTTCCTTCCTTCCTTCCTTCCTTCCTTCCTTCCTTCCTTCCTTCCTTCGTGGCCCAATTCAGCGCCTCGGTGGGGAGCAGAGCGCCTAAACGCCCACCCACGCCGGGCACGAGTGGGACCCAGGACTCCACCTCTCCTCCCCGGGAGGATGGAAGGCTCTGGAGCCTGGTAGGACCACGCAGTTGGGCTTCTGGGTTTTGTGTTGTTCTGAACCCCAGAAATCAATTTGTCAAGGCATGGGGGCGTTTGCTTGGTAAGTTCAGCTTGGGCCCCGGGTGGGCGGATCGCGCGTGGGGTGGGGGGAGTGCCCAGGAGGGAGGAGAAGCCGGGAAAGTGGCGCAAAGGCTCCGGGTGTTTTTGGAGAGCGCTGCAAGTCCTGCAGGTAGATCCGGGGCTGGGCCAACGAGCTGATTGGGAGAGAAGGAGGAGGAGGAAGAAGAGGAGGACGGGAGAGGAAGCCGGTATGTTTACTGCGCCAAGTCCAGCGGGTCCGGCTGCAAGGAAGGGCTTGCGAAGAGCCGCAGTGCCTTCCCCGCCTGCGTGCCTGTGTGCATTCAAGGGCAGTTTGGGGGTTTTTGAGAAAGAAGGCAGGCTCCATGGCTGGCGGGGATTTGCTCTGGGCCGGGCTCGAGCCCGTGGGCCACAGCCCCGGGGATTTGGGCGAGGGCCACGCGCTTTGTGCCGCTGCTATTTTGGAGAGAGAGCTCGGGTGCGTGCGCCCAAGCGCGCACTCGCTTGAAGGTGTTGGGAGGCTGTCTTGGGTTTCGACTTTGCAGAGGAAAGAGAGACTGGGCTGTTGTGCTTTCCAGCCAGAATGGGAGCGCTATGTCCCCCCCCCCCCCCTTGCTTGCTTTTGCCACTCTAAAACGAGAAGAGGGATTTGACAGCTAGAGGGTGTGGAAGACATGTGGACCCTCTCTGGTGATGCCACATGGCAACCTCCCTCCCTCCTGTCACTTCTTCCCTGGGCAGCCACTGCTCTGGCCAGTCATACACAACCACTCCTTGACCCACTTGCCTATGCAATGCGGATGATGGGAGTGCATGTGACAACTGAGCTGGGTGTGCATTCTGGGAAGGACTAGAGCCTAAGAGAAAGAGAGAAAGAGATTGAGTCACTATTTGGGGCGGATTCTTTTCTTCCTTCTGCTAGACCTTGCACAGGAGACAAAGGTCAACAGAGAGTGTGTGTCCAAAAAAGGCACCTTGGTTGCAATAAAGGTAGGCTGGACCAGGTGGACCGGTCTGTGTCACAAAATCTGTGTGTACCATGTCACAGAGAAATGCAGTCTGTTTGGTGTCTGGCTTTCACCTGTGGCGTTCGAAATGCGCCAATTGGTGAGAAGTTGGAATGAGGCTTCCATTGTCTAATCATTCAGGTTTTTTTCGGTTCTGTTTGGTTTGTTTATTTGCCAAAGATGAAATGAAGCCGGTCTGCCGGACTGCTACTGAGAGATGGGATTTCCTAGAAATATTTGAATGGGGAGAGGGTGTCGCTGGGTGATGACGCACGCGTTCCTGGATGGTTCATTTCTACACTCTGAACTGTGATGCTTACCTGCGCCTTGTTTTTCACAAAGTGTGGGAGAAACTGAGTATTGCAGAAGGACTGATCATCTCAGATGGCATTGCATCTACAAGCAGAGCGAGGGTGGGAAAGAAGCTTCTCTGGATTGCATGCTTTTTTGTAATGCGTTTTATCATGAGCCGTGATGATATTTGGTTGTTGCATAGTTCCCCCAATAGCATAAGGAAGGGACATGGGGAAATAGCTGAGCAGTTGAGAGGATCAGTTTTTCCTTCTCATACTATGGTGAAATCCCACAAAACGTTTATGTATGTGTATGTGTGTGTGCATGGAACAGATTTCACTCTGCCGGAACCTAGGAGTTATGAAGGCTGGTGATTCGAAATGACTAATCTATCAATTTCTCCTTCGCCGTATTACTCTCCTGCTCAGTATGCAGTAATGGTTGCCACATCAGCCCCAGAGTGAATCAGGCGACTGGGGGTGTTTTTCAGTGAGGTCAGAAAGCATCTGGGAGCAAATGAAATGGAGGACTGGTAGCTGGGGGATAGAGAACATGTTTTGCATGCAAAAAGTCTCCGTTCAGTTCTGGGCATCTCCAGTTCAAAGGGAGCAGGTATCAGGTGGTGCAAAAGATCCCTGTTTGAGGGTTCTTGTAGGTTTTTTGGGCTGTATGGCCATGTTCTAGAAGCATTTACTCCTGACATTTCACCTGCATCTATGTCAGGCATCCTCGGAGGTTGTGCGGTCTGAGGATGCCTGCCATAGATGCAGGCGAAACATCAGGAGAGAATGCTTCTAGAACATGACCAAGCAGTCCGAAAAAACAACAACAACCCAGTGATTGCTGCCATGAAAGCCTTCGAGAATACATCCTTTTTTGAGATTTTGTAGGACTGACTGTATCAGGATTAGGCTACATGGAGAAAGAGTCTGATCTGGCGTTAGGCAGTGGTTGGTGTTCTCGAGGGGCAAAAGCACAGTTTGGTTGAAAGGGCCCAAATTGAGTTACTGGTAGTGGCTTGTAGGATTCTGTTTGTTTACCACAGGGAGTGGATAGATAGGTGAACCTACTGGACTGAACTGTATTCAGCAGTGGCCACACTATCACTGTGGCCATCTCTTAAAAACAAGACAAAAGCAGATGTGATGAGAAACCTAATTCTGGACTGACATCCTCCTGTAATGGTATATGTAGGCATAAGTTAATCTTAAGCTTGCATTTCTATATTTTTAGTAACTGTCAAAGTTGATGTTCCCTTCCTTCTCTGCAGTATCCAAAGCCCCTTTGATCTACCACAGAACTGCTCAACCCTCTTCCTTCAACATTCATAAAAAGAGAGAAAGGGGAAGGGGAAGTCACAGAAGTGTCTCCTTGTTCCCCATAGCCAGATGCTGTACAATTACATTGACCATTGAGACCTCCAAGGACCCAACATCTCAGTGGCAGATATGATCACTTCAATTATGACACTGTCAGATGCTTTAATGTTCCCCTGCTCTTTAGGTGCTAAGTGGCTCCGTGCACCATAGTTCTAAATATCTGCTATGGGAAATTATGCAGATTTGATGTTATAGAGTCATAGAATCAGAGAGTTGAAAGAGGCTTCATGGCCCATCAAGGCCAAACACCTGCTGAATGCAGGATCTTCAGTGAAAGCATCTCCAGTATACCTTTCTTGCTCTCTTTGGAAATGATTCCATTGCTAAAACACTATTACTGTCAAGAATGTTCCAGTGAAATGAGCCAACATTGTGATGCAGCAGCTTAAAAAGTCAATGGGATTTTGGCCTCCCTAAATAGGAGTATAGTGTCTAGATCCAGGAAAGTCATGCTACCCCTCCATTCTGCCTTGTTCAGACCACACCTGTAATACTGTGTCCAATTCTGGGCACCACAATTGAAGGGAGATGTTGAGAAGATAGAAGGTGTCCAGAAGACAGCAACTAAAATGATCAAGGGTCTGGAGAACAAGGTCTGTGAGGAGCAGCTTCAAGAGTTGGGCATGTTTATCCTGCAGAAGAGAAGGCTGAGAGGAGGCATGATGTGAGGGGAAGTCAAAGGGAGGAGGGAGCAAGCCTGTGTTCTGCTGCCCTAGAGACTAGGATGCTTCAAACTACAGGAAAGGAGATTCCATCTGAACATTAGGAAGAACTTCTTAACTGTGAGAGCTGTTCAGCAGTGGAACTCTCTCTGTACTCTGAGTGTGGTGGAGCCTCCTTCTTTGGAGGCTTTTAAACAGAGGCTGGAATGTCATCTGTCAAGGATGCATTGAATGCAATTTTCCAGTTTCATGGCAGGGGGTTGGACTGGATAGCCCATGAGGTCTCTTCCAACTCTATGATTCTATGAAATCTATTCAAACCAATAGGCCTGGTCCTATCTTCGGTAGTTCTGGCCCCCATGCAGCATACTTGTAATATTTAATTCTATTATTTGGAATTCTGGGATTTACAATTTGGTAAGAGCCATAAAATCCAGTTTCTGAATCCAGATTGTCTGATGGATTATATGAGTCTACACTGTCATATCATCCAGTTCAAAGCAGATAATCTGGATTCAGAAATGGGATTATGTGGCAATGTAGATGGGGCCTTAGACTTCTCTAGTACATGTATCTGAGCTGTAGTATGACAACTCTCACAACATCTACAAATCACAGGAGTCCACAGGCTGAAGCTGTGACATTTAAAGTGATATTAAAACTCTATGACTGTGAAGTGTGAACTTTTGAGAGTTTTCATGGGTTTTGATGCAGATGACCATGGCACTGGGAATTACAGTCTAAAAGAAGATTTGCAGGTTCTGGGGTCTTCTAGAAGTGGCAATTATTTGTTTTATTTTAAAAAAATGTGGTTCTGGTGTCTGGAAGGAATCTAGGTCTGCAAAAAATGCCGGGAAATGGGAAGTTGGCTGCATGCAACCCTTGGCAGATGAATGGGGAAAGTGCTCAAAGGAGAGCAGGAGAAGTTCTTTGATGTTGGAAGATGTGAAGGCAAGGGAACAGGTAGAGTATTTTGGAATTGCCCGGATTTCAAGCTTACCAACTGCTTCCATTCACAAAGTGTTTGTCAATTTGAGGATCTGCTGTATTTACTCCACTTCCCCTTTCAGCCTGACAGCATGTAGTAATAGCGCTTATTTTCGCTGATGTTCTTTTTTGTCATTTTCACAGTTGAATGTGGCTACAAAACAATTGAAAAAACCCTTCCCTTTTAAGAGGCGATACAAAGCTA